CATCCGGGAACTACCCAGTAAAGTAAGTGAGCTCCAATGTGATGTGCTATTTCTCACATCTGCAATGCTTGACGCCTTAACTGATGCTGAACTGAATCGAATTCAGAAGGTGGAGAAACTCATCGTAGGAGGAGATGCAGTTCGGGATAGAAACCTAGTCAAGGTCTTAAATTCTGGCCTCGATGTTACGCAAATCTATGGTCCAACAGAGGGTACTGTGTGGTCCCTGACCAACAGATGTAAAGCCCTACCTGAAGAGGGATCCCTTATAGGAAAACCAGTGCTCAACGAAACATGCTGGTTGGCTGAGGGAGTGAAAGAGGGCGAATTAGTCCTAAGCGGAGCCAAGGTAGCTCGAGGATATTTCAATGATCCCAACAACGAGAGTTTCTACCGAACCAATGGTGTGCCATGCTATCGTACTGGAGACATCGTCAGGAACGACAAGGAGGGATTCATTTACCGAGGAAGGATCGACTCACAAATGAAAGTTCGTGGCCATCGGATTGAAAGCTTAGAGGTGGAGCGAGCGATACTCGAGACTTCACTGAACATTTCAGAAGCCAAAGTCATCGCTCTAAAGGAGTCGCTGATTGCGTTTATAGTTCACGACAAGCCCCTAGACAGCGCTACGGTGCTAGCTGAGCTGGAGGCAACTTTGCCATCGTACATGGTCCCATCACGGTTCGTCCGGGTCCCAGAGATACCTCTGAACAGCTCAGGAAAAGTAAATAAGGAAAAGCTATTGGAGGAATATAGCCGGACTACTGTGGATTGCGCGGCTCCTACGACTACCCAAATGTCCCTGACCGAGCAGAGAGTAGCTTCAGTCTTTGAAAAACTTTTAGGCCTGAAAAATGTGCGGTCTACGGACAACTTCTTCACCCTCGGTGGACATTCGCTACTTCTCTTCGAACTGAAGAACCAACTACTCACTGAATTCGATCTGAACATTGAAGTTCATGATCTTTTCGCCAATCTCACTGTACAGGAAATGGCCAGGTTTATTACGAAGCAGTCGAGAGAAGCCGGTGACACTTCGATCATTACAAAACTACGTGAGGCACCTGAGGCCAAGTTCAACGTCTATTTGATTCATGCCATTGGTGGATCTGTATTTCCGTACTATGCTTTTCTTCAAGTATTTCCTAAAACGGTCAATATTTATGCTATTGAATATCAACTGCACTTCGAAGCTGACACAATCAAGCAACTAGCTGCATTCTACGCGAGAGCGGTAAGGAGTTATCATTTAAAGGCGCGGTTCGCGTCAACCGTGTGGGCGTCATCAGGCCTACCACAGTGTCTTCCTCATAGGCTCGCCTCGCTTATCGAAGACAGTGAAGAGGAGAGGCGCGACAATGACGAAAGCATAATACTAAGCCTGACTTTGTCCATGCGATCAGTGTGCGAGCTGTGCCATTATCTCGTATCTCAAGCACTGCGAGTGTAGTTATGATACTCGTTTCAGATAGCAGCACACACAAGAGATGTCCGACCTTTTCCAATGGGCCACTCTCTGGGTGGAACTATTAGCAGAGAAATCGTCGCCGAATTGAAGCTGTGGGGATGGGAGGTAACGTAACACCTTTCATACTTTTTTTGTGGCGCAGGGCTACTGTCTATCTCCTCTGATGCCTGTTGAATATTTAAATTTTGAGCACCTCATCTTATGACCTGGTACGACAAGAAGGAGCTTTCTTGCTAATAACTCCTCGAACAGTTTGAGTAGGGCGGAACTTAGCCACTTTTCGGAGCCCTAAAGCTGTAGATTCACTCTTCACCACTTAGAATGACCACAAGCCTTATTAGCTACGGCTGTTGGAGCGTGTCATTGAGGCCAGGCTTGGCGCGGCTCCAGCCCGTTCTCCACCAACTGCTGTAGCTTCCCCGTTTCAAAGCTGATGGAGAACTGCCTGGCGAAGCTGCAGTTCCAGCCCCCCCCCTGATAGGCCCCAGCATCCGCGGCGAACAAGACTGCGCCACATGCCCATTCACACAGCTTTGGTGGAGGAGTTTTTTCATGCCTAGATTTTTGTTCGGGTATTTTGGTGGAGAACCTCATCAATAGAAGGTCATACACTCTGCTAGATAGGATTTTCACTTGCCCTGTATATTCTCCCGCTCAGCGACAATCTTTGCTGTGGGAGAAAGGAGACTCGAGAAAACTTAGAGGAAAGTTTGGAAGCTGGCACGCAGTATGGAGACGAGAGGTCGCACCATAGGAGAAAGCCGGGCTGGGGGTCGCCTTGCACTGCCACTTCACACATCACCATTCGATCATCGATCCACGCCCAAACAGAGCTGCATTAAAGGGGTGTAACGGGTCATCTACCAGGTGATCAGCTGCTGCTCAGTATCCGCTTTTGCGGTTTTTTTCTCTTGCGCGGCTATACAGCTCGCTTCCAGTATTCCAACTACTGTTTTCAGATCCCATTTGTGATGATGTTCGACACGTGGATGGTGCAGCAATTGAACATGGAGCGAGTGACAGCTTTCGCCAAGGTTTCCATTGTTTTCTGACGGCCTCATCTTTTCTTCCTACAATTCTTGGGTACTTCAGAAAACCTTCTTGGCACTACCCGACTACGAAGATCGGGTGAAAAAGACAACTCGCCTAGCTGATATGCTACGGAGGCATACTTGTGCTATTTCTACGACGAAAATATATTTGTTCAAAAGCGCAGAGGTCAGCGATGATGAGGCATTCCGAAGAGTTGTACGGTCAGTGAAGCTCGATTCTTTATGCATAAATGAGGCTCTACTCTCCCCTCCATTGACCGCCCTAGGAGAAGTAGCGCCATAGTGAGAAAGGCACAGTGGTGTGCCTGGCTCCGTCCCTTATTATCAGGTGGACTGTGCCTTTAAACCGTTTTTGAGGATATTGTACGTCACACTGACTTATTATAGACCGGATCTCAATGAAAGTATATTACGAGCGATGACAGATAATAGGCTCGGTTCATCTTCTACGCAACCCATCGATGTATGGCTGGTAAGCTGAGGTTTATTACACAATACAAACTCGTTCGCTGCGGATACTGAGAATTGTCAGGGAGGCTAGGTTTAGTGCAGCATCAGCCGATCCTCCACCAATAGCTGAAGCCGGGCAAGTGGCAACAACTGGTGGAGAACGAGTTGGCGCTGCGCCCAGTCCGGCCCCTCCCCTTCCTGACACGTCCTCCGCTTCGGCAGCGAACGAGGCTGTGTGAATGCACCAATGTTATACATAATTTCAGATTGATGGAAATCATGAGTCGTGCATGAAGCCTGGAGAATCTCACCACTCACAAGGAGACGATACTTTCAATTTTTACCAATTATTTGTAGTCTTCTAGCACTCAATAGAGGAACCTATTGTACCATGAAATCAAGAAATAAAATGAATGTGTGTCTTCTCACCACCAGTCAAGAAGAAGTCCAATCACTTTTATTATTGGTGAGGATAGAATAGATATTTCTCCTGAACAAATGCCAGGGGTTTTTGTAGAGAAGTTAGTATGACTTGGGGGTACTGGAGTGTTGAGTGCTTCGGTACTAAGCAATGAATATCATTTAATGAAAACCGGGGACTTAAAAGCATTTAAAGAAACCTAAGCATCAGTGCCAAGGGTCATATGTACATAAAGAATTAAGCTGGTAACGTACTGGAATCGAAGAAGATCAACTGAAAAGATATGCAATTACAAGCACATTCCACGTTTGTCGCATAGGCGGGGCTGAGTCTACTATTATGAATTCATTACTAACGCAGCTTGCTTATCTACTGGCTGGCCCTTATAGGCCAAACTTTGCCTATATAAGAAGGAGAGCGGAATGCGCCTTTTGAGCCAAACTATACAGTCACCTTCCGAAGACGGTCATTGCCTTGCCTTGTGCGAGGTTAATTTGCAGTTTTCCCCGCTGAAAAATGCAGGGGAATGGGGCTGAAGGGTAGTGATACTCCTTTGGCGCTATCACCAGTAAGGAGCACTTGCCAAAATCCCGCAGCGAGCAGGCAAAGGTAAAGAAAAACTAAAAGTGGGAGGATGCAGACGAATAGCGCGCTTGGCTAAGGTTAAGCATTAGGCTGACCAGGATTCGCGGGGCTGAGTGTACAGTTTGTCCTAAGCATGACTGAATACAACATGATATGGAGAGACTTTTCGAACAACTCCGAGCAAGCCTTTGGCCTTGTCCACAGGTGGATGATTTGGATCAGGCGATACATCGAATCGTAAGAGGAGATTACCAATAATCTGAAAATTACCATCGCTCAAAAAAGCAGAATGGAACGCAGAAATTTTGATATGCATCACATCAGATTACTTTCTAAATTATAGAGTCTTGCTCACTGAGGACGCTGTGGCGTAGCAAACGGGGGGGGGGGGGGGGGAGGGGATGGGTTTGGCGCTACTAATCAGATACAATACCAGTTCGTAGCAAGTATTGTCAATAGTTTGGATATATTCTCTGTTCCTGCTGCCATCATCCCTGTAAATCTTCCCCACTCTTTTGGACCAGCCTTCGTTTAACAGGCACAAATAACTATTTCAACACAAAATTGGTTGGATTTTTGACAATTGACTCGTTTTTAGTTCGATTCCAGAGCGCTACATGAAAGGGCAGAAACTTGAAGAACAAGTGATTCCGTTCGGAATAGGACGACGAGCATGTCTTGGTGAATCATTAGCACGAGCGGAGTTGTACCTTGTGGTTCACTCCTAATCTTGAGGGCCAGTCAGGCCCTTATTCAACTGAATAGCTGTAATGGAGCTTCCGCAGCTCCTTCCTTTTCCCGGTGCGAGTACAGACGATACTCACCCGTTTATTCGGCTCGTTAGCAGTAAGTGGGGCAGTGCCCAGTCGAAATCCACAAGAATGGCAAGAATGCTATTTCAACATAAGAACCGGCCTTATATAGGGTGAGTCTAGACAACTAGAGTATGACGAAATAGTACATAGTAGACGATGTGGCGGAATCAAATCGCGCGGGATTCACATCCCTGGCTCGCAATCAATACAGGCTCTTAACAACACAGTTATGTTAAACAAAGTGCGATTGAGTGTACAATGTTACAAGGTAAGACTGTTTACAATATTTTGAGAATCTAATTACTACACTTCATAGGATATAGAGGTAGCATAGAATATAGAGAATTATAGTACGAAATGTTTTAAGGGGAATTCCCTTACACGCCCCCCTTTGGGGAAGCCGACCCCGACGGCTTCTTGCGATGTAGCTGCTTCATAAAGGTGCATACTGCTGGCGTTTCGATTTGACATCCTTGATGTAGTAGCTCCGAATCGCGAACCGTTTCTTCTTTCCCTTTTCGACAGCGCAGACGAGCGAGGCGGACTAGCGATGAAGACTGGTTACAGCGATGCGTCTTCGATCTTCTGCCTTCGCTTGACTTCGAACGTCGGAAGTACCAGTACATTTGAGGCGATGTGTGCGACCTGATTAAGAAAAATTTTACACTGCCAAGCCATAAGTCGGTCTTCTCCTTTCCTTGGGCATACGCCGAGGCTTATCGCTGGGTGCTTCATAGGGACTTAGTCCCTGATTGAACGCTGTAGTAGTCCACGATGCGCGCATCGAACCCCCTCGCGGGCCCAGAAAGGAATTCTGCCATCATGCGACAGACGGTGCCGATGTGCCTCCAGTCATCTTCGCGGCTGAGTTCAAAGGGTGGAGGGAACAATTCCATAGTACCTCCACATTGAAGATGTCTTTCCACTGCATGCTGTACGAGGAGCATGTGCTGGGTGTTGGGCACTTCAGGAATAAGCCAGATCCATATGAATGCTGAAGAGATGCTTTGCTTCTGCAACTGCTCCGCGAGATCACCGAAATGTGAGTAGACAATGAACTTCACTGTCGGCGGCTCTACGATCTCAGTAAGAACCCTGCCGAAGTGACGCGGAAGAGCCATCAAGATGGGGTTTCCTGGCATATCATCCGGCGACTGAGACGTGATTTGCGCTCTTCGAGCCATGGCCATTCGATAGTACATCTCGATGTCATATCCTGGATTGGTCGTGAACAGTGGTGGATGCGACAGCTCGACGCCTTCCTTTTCTTTCACCGCAGAAGCAAATTTGTAGCAGAATTTGGCGTGAGCTTGAATCGCTGTAGCAAGCCCATGTATCGTGAGATAACGCGAATCCTTATTGAGGAGTTCGGTTTCCTTGCGGTCATCTCCCCAGTGAGGGTGCAATGCAATGGAGGCTACATTTGCTAATTCATACAAATTTTTCACAGGTTTAGAACGAGCTAGATCACAACGTAATCCAGGCAAGCCCACTTGAGCCCGTGTGTTGAACATTCCACATTGACATGGATGAAGCAGATGCAACGGATCGAAACGTGGATCTCCAACTCTACGATCCCTGAAAGAGACATTATTAAGTTTACAACTGGCGAAACTCGCCCGTTGTTTTTTGGTCTACGCTTCCTCAGCCTACGCCTACTTTAAATACCGGTTCATTATTTCCCTTTTATGGCCTTTTACTGGCCCAAGCTGGTTATACGGGAGTTGATCAAAGGGTAAACAAAGCGGGTCCTTGTCTCCCGACAAGGCTGTAATTGTCGCACTATTATCACTGACTCCTACAACCCTGACGGCATCCATTTGACCAGCTTGGGATGGCACTTGTTACCTTTCTCTGTTGGCACACGCATGTAAACTCTGTCGCCAACCTTTAGCGGTTTAACCATCACCTTATGTCTGCTGTCGTAACTGCGTTTCATTGCCCCACGCGCTTTCTCATTCTGCTCTCGAGCGTTTTGGCGAGCCAAGTTTAATCCACTGACTAGCTCATGGATATAATCGTCCATGTCTACCATGTACGGGGTGTTTGCTCGTTCTGGCATGGAATCCCATGGCATATTTGCATCAAAACCATGCATAAGAAAGAACGGAGAATCCCCAGTGGCCTCATGCGCCGTTGTATTATAGGCAATGGTGCAGTAAGGGAGCATTCTGTCCCATTCATGTGGAATTTCCACTTTCTTCCTCAGTAACCCAATGATGGTTCTATTGAATCTTTCCGTTATTCCGTTTTCTCGAGGGTTGTAACCTTTTGTGAAAACCTGGCGAATCCCTAATATGGAGGCAAGCTCGGACATAAGCTTGTTGTCAAATTCCCCTCCCTGATCCGAAAGGATGCACTTGGGAATGCGACAACCGTCCGCCATCCAGCGTTCGAATAGCGTGCGCGCTACCGTTTCCGCGGATTTCGTCGCGATGGGGTAAGCTCCTCCAAATTTAGTGAAATGATCAATAACGGATAAGATATACTTATTTCCATTAGATGTTGGTCCCATTTCCAGGATATCAATGCCGATCATTTCAAACGGTTCTGTTGATACCACGGGTTTTAGCGGAGGCGTCATCTCTTGTCGTGCGTTGAACAACGTGCATTTCTTGCACTCTTCCGTCCAAAGTCGCACGTCACGAGCCATATTCTCCCAGAAAACTCGTCTGCTCAGTTCGCGGAGCACTTTCTTTGATCCAAAATGACCAGCTAGAAGTGCCGAATGAGCATCGTGGAACACCTGCTTTCTAAATGCTTTTGGAACCACCCTTCTCAAGTTATCCTTGTCCACAAAGCACAGGTATCCATCTTGTAGTACGAAATCAGCTACTTTTAACTTCCGCACTTGATTGGGAAATACGACTTTCCTCCGAAAGTCGCGCCCCTTTCCAGTGCCGTGATCACTTTCCCGTATATGAAGTCCGTTCTGAGTTCTCGCGTCCATTCCGGCTCTTCTGCCGTAGAGGCGACAATCAGCTCGTTTGGAATGGTGGCACTACCTTCGAGGTTTGCAGGATCTACTGCTCCTCTGCTCAAGGCATCGGCAACACGATTTGCAGCTCCCTTAACATACACGAACTTTATGTTGTACGCCTGTAATTCGAGCGCCAGCGGAGCACTCGAATACAGCAAGCGTAAAAAGTAAACGTTAGTAATAGACGTAGTAAAAAGTAACTACAGCAAGCGCTTCTAAATCTGTAATGTGATAATTACGCTCGCTCTTGTTTAGCCCTTTTGACGCGAAAAATATTGGGTGTAGGAAGTTGTCGTCTCCCTTCTGACTTAAAACTGCCCCTACACCTGAGTAGCTAGCGTCCGTATGGATGCAAAACGGTTTTGCTCCTGTACGCGCACCTTCGATGTCTGGTTGCGCCAAAACAGGTGTGGATGTCAGAGCGTCCTTGAGCGTTTTAAAAGCGTCGATGCGCAGCTGGGTCACTCAACTTCTTTCTCAGAATCATCTCATGGAATGGTGCCGCCATTGGAAAACCCGCCAGTTAAACTCGTAGTACGAGCACATACCTAGGAACGTTCTCAGTTCCGAGCGTGTCTGCGGTGTCGGGTATTCCTGTATGGCAGAAATTTTCTTGGGATCTGCGTGCAACCCATCTTTCTCGAGAACATGACCCAAGAACTCAACCTTAGGCTCCATTAGTATGCACTTCTTTGGATTGAGCTTTAGATTTGCTGCTCGTAGTCTGTCGAACACTTTCCCAAGTACTTCGACATGACGCTCCTCTGTAGTGGTAGCTACAATAATATCATCCAGATAGCACGAAACTTCATCTCCTTGTAGCGGATGGAGCACTAAGTGCATTAGCCTCTGAAAAGCTGCTGGCGATGATGCCAGTCCGAAAGGTAAGACTTTAAATTGGTATAAGCCCTCAGTTGTAGCAAATGCACTTTTTTCCTTTGCACTGTTTGCCAACTTCATTTGCCAGTAGCCAGAAGAAAGGTCCAGTGTTGAAAACCAACTCTT